CGAACCCCTCACAGACCACACCCTCCCCAAGCTTCCCAGGACCTCAGTAGTGTGGGGGCGCACAGCTAATGGGCCTCTGAAACTTCACTTTCCCGTTGGTCTGGGATGGGGCAGTGCAGCGCAGCTCTGCACCACACACAAGGCTCAGCCTCACAGAGTGCTGCTGGACAAGGATGCCTGGGGCACCACGCACCACTCTGGGGCACCACGCACCAGCCACAGTTACGCCACCAGGTTCTCTGCAGTCTTCACAGTCCAGTCACCCAGTGTGTGCTCTGTGACTGCCAGTCCTAGACTCTGCAACAGGCACAAGTAGGTCCACCCATCTGTGATGCTCTGGGTGGGGGTGGCAAAGGACACAGGGAGAACCATCCAGGAAGAGGAACCAGCACCCCACATGGTCCCAGCTTCAGGCAAGGAATGCTGACACCTCTAGAAGCAATGTCAGCCAGCAGGAAGGTGGGCTTCCCTTGAAGTATCTGGACATCTCCTGGGCTCCATGGCCTCTCTAAGTCTGTGAGATTTGCCAACATTGGTGGTGACCCCATTATTCAGTCGTTCCCCACACAGAAATCACACAGGCATCTACCTGTGACTTCCATCACCCAGGACCTACTTGTCCTGTACCCAGCAAGGCAGACCTTTGCTCATATCGCTGCACCTCACTCAGAGAGAGCCACTCGTAACCTCACTCAGCAGAGGAGGAAACAGAACCTTAAGCAAGTCAACCACTGTCTCTCAGATGGCAAAGCGGGCACGCCACCAACACTGCCAATCACACCTTGCAAGGTCTCTCCCTCCAGATGCAAACTATCTCCCCTCCCCCAGCCTTTTCAAACCTTCCTGGAAAACCAAATGCTCTAGGAAAGTATTTCCAGATGGATGCCACCCAAAGAGGTGTCTCTGCCTCCCCCGGATGTACAGCCCAGGGAAACCTCCATCCCACCAATGATCGATCACACAGGTGCTCGAAGTCCACCCTCCCTGTCTAACTGAACTCGCCCACAGTGGGGATGGTGGGGTGACCTGGCACTGGACTCCAGCTACAACAAAGAACCCAAAGTTAATGATGCCAACAGCTGTGGGATCAATGAAAGTGAGCCAGCCCCTCCTAGCTGCAGGGCACATCTAACCACATACTCCCTGGCTCCACTGTCGGCCACGAGAGGAGAGTGCTATTCCCAAGAGCCATGAGCATTGGACAGAAAGCAGGATTCATCACACAGGAGTCCCACTGGCCTGAATAAGAGACAGGTCTGCAGCCGTCTCCAAGCAATAGGCCTTTCCTGGATCCAATCATCACCAAGTCTCACGTCCCAGGAGTGTCTGCAGGATCCCTTCTCATTCAAGGTCTCCAAGTTACCCTCTTGGTCAGCTCACCCCTGAGGCTCTCAGACACAGCTTGAGGGGTCCTGCTAGAAGGACAGCAGAGAGCACAAAGGAAGGGCTGACATCAGCCAGCTCTGGGATCGGAGTATCTGGGTCCCAGGCCGGATCTGTTTCAACAAACATCAAGGCCTTTCGGGATTCTTTCTGGGCATGCAAATCTGGTTCCAGCAAACACCGCAGAGGAAAGTAGGCCAACAGCTGGCGCCTGGACTGGCTTTTGTTACACAAAGACCTAAGTTGTAATTGTGTTTGCGATAACAGATTTGGCGTACACACAAGAAAAAAGACCTCCAGCTGCCCCATGCCTCCGCTGATCAGGCGTGGGACAGTTAGCGGTCACCCTTATTGCCACCCAGTCACAGGGGAGTGGTAGGTGTCATGGACATTACCTCAAGGGCCTTTGTGCTGGGAGTGGGAAAGGGGAATTCACTGAGAAGTAGAAAAGGAGACTAAAAGCCACATTAGCAAAACACAAAACATTTTCCTGGCCCCTACATGGTTGGGGGGGGGGGCCAGTGGAGAGGCCTTGAAGGTCAAGCAAGGCAGGATGCAGGAAGCTCACACTGGAGGAAGACAGGGTCACCCACTCAGATCCCCTGCGGGAGGAACAGGCTGGGTCCCTGCCCACCCCCTGGTGATGAAGAAGGTATCTCACTCCCCCCATCTTCAAAGAATGAGGAAGGCAATCAGGAAAGAGGACACACAAGACATTTAAAAGTTACAAAGACGAAAAAAATCAGGGTGTGGCCTGGACCCTGGATGCCCAGGATGTGACCTGTGGCATCAATAGAATTTCCACACCCTCCAGGTATACAGGTGCCCGCAGGCTGCGGCTCTGGCCTGGGCACCCCTGCCCCGTCCTACTCCAGAGCCCCCTGAAGAGCATGTTACTCTGGCCATGGCTCCAAACCTCCTGGAAACACCCCAACAGGCCCCTTTGGGCGACCTCCCTCTTCACCACTACCTGCTGGAATCCAGGGCAGGCGGTCTGCTCAGTGTAGAAATCATCTCCACAGACACTAGGGCTCAGAGCTTGTCCTGCTTTGGGGGTGGCCCAGGAGCCTCCCCTGCCCAGCAGCATGTACCTCACGATGGCCCCACATCCTCCAGCCTCAGGAAGGGACTGAGGGCCACTGTGGCAGGACTACAGCTGTCCTCCCACCCCTTTTGTCCTACCTGGTAGAAACCGAAGCAGGTGGGCAGCCCAGCGGAAGGTTCCTGGCCTGACCCTCGGAAGGAGACCAGCTTTCCTCCAGCGCAGCTCTAACCACTCTGACTGCTTCCCCAGCACAGACCACACTGATCTCAGGGCACTCTGGCCCTCCGTGACCTGGTCCCTCTGATCGCTACAAGTTGGTCCCTCCTTACGCTTCAGCCCCTTATCAGGGCAGCTCATTTCAACCTCCCCCGCTGCATAGCTCTCCTCCTTCCACGGATGACCTTTCCCTGCCCTGATTCAGAAGCTTTCAGCTCTCTGCCTATGGCTGGACTGGCCTGCACACCTTCCCAGAAGCCATCCCTTCCCCAGGCAGTCCATCTGTCTGTCTGTTTAAGGTCACCATCTTGCACAGAACTACCATCCCAATTCTACCCTGAGTTCTAGGGCACAAGGAGGGCCACCTTTCCACTCCTCAGAGCAGCAATGTGGGCTCCCCATGCAAAGCATCTGTGCACACTAGAGCACACTCACAAACACTCTGCAATATGGGGGCTCAAGTCCGTTCAATGATCCCGCTCCACTCCTCAGGGCTCACCATGGGGAGACTGAGGCCCACAGAGGCCCAGAAGACCCAAGGCCCCATTCTCCAAGACTGGGAAGTCTTCCCCCAGAGCAGAAGGCCCAATCACTGCACCAGGATGCTCTCAATAAGCCCACTGTCAAGCCAAATTTGAAGGTCTAGAAGATGGGGCACAGTGGCACGGGGATGAAGTCACACAAAGGACCCCAAGACAGGGGCACTGCCTGGCTCCACTGTGCAAGCTGGGTCAGCTGGTAAGAAAGCATGACCCCCAAAGGCTCCTATCAAGACACTCCCCGTTCCCCGGGCATTCTTACCCAGAAATCCCACCCAGTCAGGGAAGAAAATTCCAAAACCTAAACTCCAGGTAGGCCCAGAGGAGATGAGGCGCTTGGAGGGTGAGACCTGAAGGGGGCAGTGTCTCCTTTCAGACCTGAAGGTCCGGGACCTGATTGGCTGACACTGGTGGCTTGATACAGAGGTACACCATGGCAACATTCATTGCAGGCAGTAGTTCTGGGGTGACCTCAAGGTGTGTATGTAACCCAAAAGTACAGGATGTCAGGGGCACAAGTCATCACAGCTCTTGGACCTAGAGTTGCTCTTGTTCTTGTCACATGGAAGGAAAACGCTAGGGTCTGAAAACGTTCTCCCACCACTGAGGTGACCAAGTAGAGGAGACATTCCCAGCTTTGTACAGCCTGTGCCAACCACTGGCTCAGGAGTCCCCTGTGTTTGTACAGCCAAAGCTCTGGTCCTCAAGAATCACCCTACCAAGGATAAGGCTTACCGCAGGCCTATATGGGTAGCTGGGCTCAGGGGCCACCCAGTCCTGGCCATGGGAGGCGGGGGACCTAAGGCTGGTCACCTTCGTATTTGGCCTGGCACCTGGCCTCCTGTAACTAACTCCCTCAAGTCTAGCCTCTTCAGCCTGGAGGCCAACCAGAGGGCTCAGCCCACTGCCTCCTGCAAGCCCCTCGAGGGGCGGGGGCTCCGGGCCCACAGAGGCGGGCCCGCCCCTCCGGAACCCTGCCCCGAAGCGCGGAGACCATTGTGTGAGCCTCCCTTCCCACCGCGTATTTACTCCGGAGGATGCAGGATGCAGGGCCACTGCACCGGCAGTCACGAGGCCGCAAGAAAACGCACGCACACACAGAGCGGGGGCGGGGCTGCCAGAGCCACCCTCGGAGGGAGAAACCCCCCCGAGCCCCTCCAAACTTTCTAACTCCGAAGGGCAGGGGAGGAGGGAGCCAAAATGCTCTCCTTGCCCGCTTGCAGGCCACCTCTACCCGCACGACCCGACGGTAGAGTCGGACAAGGATGTCCCCATGTCTGGACTAGGGCCTCGGGACGCCCCGCGCCAGACCCCGTCGTGGCCTGGGCCAGGTCCGCTCTGGCGCCGGGCAGGATTTCGTCGACCCTGGCCCCGAAGCTGGCTGGGGGAGGGGAGGGCTGTCCACCCGGCAGGACCGGGCCGCCCATTCGATCGGTCCGAGGCAGGGAACTCATGCCCCAGGCAGCAGCCGGGCCTGGGACGAGCGCTGGAGGATGGGGATCGGTCGGTTTCCGAGCATGGAACAGCACGCCCCCGCATAACTCCGAGGAAGCTCCGGGAGCCCTCGAGGTGGCTGTCGCTCCTCAAACACTAACAACAATAAAAAGAAGGAAACTCCGGCGGCACGACGCAGCACGGAGCCCCATGGGGGTGCGCAGCCCCCGTGCGTGCCCAGAACCGGGTGCTCCACGTAGGCGGTGCGGGGCCGGGAACGCGCTGGGCGGGAGGGTGACCCGCCGAGGCTCCCGCCTCCTCTCTACCTACTCCAGACCAGCCGGAGGGTCCTGCCCAGCTTGTCAGGGCGGCCCGGGACCCACCTTCGAAGTCCGAAATGATCCCGTCCAGCTGCGCGTTGACCGCGGGGTCTGACATGGTGGCGGGCGGGCAGGGAGTCGCTCGGAGGGCGGCGGGGAGGAAGCGCCCCCGGCCGGGCCCTGGCCCTGCGCGCTGGCTGGGGCGCCGCGCCCGCGCTCCTGCAGTGCAGAGCTCGCCGCCGGAGCCCCTCGGCCCCCAGGATCGGTTGAATGAATGGGGGAGGAAGGCGGGCGCCAGCCCCTCCCCGTGCGCGCTGCCCCCACCCACCCGCCGACCGCCCGGGCCCCCGCCTCCCGGGCGGATCAGGTTCCCGCACCAGCCGCCCGGCCTCCCGACTCGCACTGGCTGCTCCGCCCGCCTGTCAAGCAGGCTTGGGGGGCTGGGGCCCAAGCGGCTGCCTCGGGGCCCGCGGAGTTCCGAGTCCCGACACGCGACCCAAGCGCCCCTTCTTCTCTCCGCCTGGCCAGTGCGCCCCGGAGACAGCGACCGTGGAGATTCGGCTCCGCCTCCCGGACGCCCCGCTTAGCTGAGGCCAGATGTGGGCGGATGTGGAGGCTTGAGGGCGGGCGCCTAGGGGGGACAAGATTCCTCCCCTTCCCGGGACGCTGGGCTCCTTCGGCGGGACGTTTTATTTACGCAGCCAAAGTTCCGCAGCGCCTGTGCCCGCCTCGCGAGCTCAGCGCCTGCAAGGGTTAAGGGCGGGTGGCAGGCCCCGCCCGAGGACTATGGACCCAGGTCACAGGGGATCATCGCAGTCGACGGCATCCTTCACCACAAGGACATCTACTCTGAGCGCCCCTGGGGTGGCAGCTGCACCCCGTTGGTGGGCGCTGGAGAAGGAGTTTTCCCCAAGAAGGGGCATAGGGCCCCAATGGTGAACCAAGGTCAGAAAAGCCAAGGTCGTGGTCTAACCCTCACCCCCAACCCAACAAAGATTCTCTGAGTGTGGAGAGCAGACCTCAGTGTTTCTCATGTAGAGAAAAATAGTTCATGGTATCTGGAGAAAGAAATCAGAAGTGGGGAAAAGGAGGGCTGCCCAGGGGCTCCCTCCAGATCCGGCTCACCCACACAGCCCTGTGTCCAGCCAGCAGGTCATTCGCTTCTCTGGCCACTGGACAGACATGCTTATACTTCACTGCCCACCGGGGACACAGAGTGAGTCAAAGAAGCAAAAGGCCTTGGTCCCCACGAAAGGCAGGCAAGGGAGAGGGATGTGGGCAGCTCTGCTGTGTGGTCCCCCAGGGGTGACCTGTGAGTGTGTGAATCCATCCTGAGGCAGGGCTGATCAGTGGCCACTCCCCTTCCCAGCAGCACCCTAAGAAGGATCCCAGAAGTTCAGAGGATGCTTGAGACCAGAGCCAGAGTCTAGGTCTCCTGAGGAGAATGCCTGGCTTTTGGGGGTGCTATGTAAATGGCTGGAATAGAATCCTTCCTTTTTAAGAAAAGTGGTCACTCCCTCCTTCATGCTTTGGATATTTTGAACTATTTTCAACCGAGCGAGTTTGTGGACATGGGAACTAAAAAACCACAGCCATTTCAGATGTGCACACACCCTCATCTGCCTGGGAGCCTGAGTTTCAGAGATGGGGCCAGCACTGCCATTAATAGGAAGGACCCCAATGGCTTCCAGATTGGCTCAAGGGAAGTCCACTACCCCCATTGAGAATTGGGGCCCCTAAGAAACTCAGCCCCACAACACAGCACCCTGGGAAGATGCCAGTTTCTGGGAAAGCCTCTAACCAGGCCCACGGCATTATTCTCCAGTGTTTTTATAAAAAGCACCTGTGAGTGCAGACACACCCATCCAATTGTTCTCCCCCAGAGCTGGCATGAAGTTCTAGCAGATTATCATGGGGTCAGCTTATTGTGCAGTATTTGTTCCTGTGCAAGCGGAGGCCAGCATACTTATGCTTATTTCCTGGGGGACGCCAGCCAGGGTGCGGGACCCACCAGAATGCACTTGGTTGGGAATGCAAAGACAAGGCGGCAGGGAGCTGATTTTCAAGGCCAGAAAGTGACTTGCAAGGCTCCAGAACCCAAGTCCTCATCCCTATGCCTCTGTGCCTCTCTGCTTTAACCCCTTGGCCCATAATGCCATGCCTAGAAACTGCCCACACTCCCTAGGCTCCCTCAGGAGGGTCAGCCTGGGCATGACCACACTCCTAGCAGGAGGCTCACCCCTGGGTCTAGCCCACTGTCCTAATTGTGCATCATTTATTTCCTCCTCTTTGTCTGTCCTCAGGGGAGATGGGAAAGAGTAGGGTACCTCTCTTCCCATTATAACTCTGCAAACTTAAGGACACCCAGCTGCCCTTTGGCCTCCTCTCAGTTTGAACCATCCTCCTCTAACTCCTTAGTTTCTACACACACACACACACACACACACACACACACACACACACACACGCCCGTGCGCACATACACTTGGATAGTGATCTCTTGGCTGCACCCCATCTGAGATTCCAACATTTTCATACGGCCAGACAGTCAAGAGGTGCTGAGGACCTCCCTTACCCTGCCCCCCAGAGCCTCAGGCTGGATCAATAGCCCTGGCAGGGACACTGAGCAGATAGGATGAGCAGCCGACAGGTGAAGGAAATGGGCTTAAAATTGGCCAGAGAACATAACTGTAACTGCATCTGAACAAGGTCTCCCGAGCAGGTGGGACAGCCAGACACCAAGAGATTGCAAACCACAAGTGCAGCGCAAGACCCAGAGTGAGCTGAACAGTGCTCCCCAAAAGATTAAGCCACAGGACCCTCAGAATGAGGTCTGATTGGGAAAAAGAGTCTCCACGGGTATGATGAAAATAATTTCAAGATGAAGTCATCCTGGATTAGGGTGGGCCCTAAACCCAATGACAAGTATCCTTAGAAAAGAAGGTACAGAGACACAGGGAAAAAAGCTCACATGAGATAGAAAGCAGAGCCTGGAGTGATGTGGACAGAGGCCAAGGATCCCCCAGAGACACCAGGAGCTGGAAAAAATGAAGGGCCCTTACCTACAGTCTCCCAGCAGAGCATGGCTGGCCCTGCTGACTCCATGGTTTCGGAGTTCCAGCTTCCAGAACCGTCAGCACACATGGCTAGGGTAAGGCGTTTTTCACACTAACACAGAACTTGTAAGGACTGATCACAAAGTAGAGTATGTGATCAAGCAAAAACAATTATTACAGTAAAAGTCACACTGCCATTAAAGTCTATCAAAATCCTCCCTCTGCTTCACAGACACCCAGCCCATCATGCTTTGTACTTTCTGAAACAGTTTAGAGTCTTCTTTTGTGAGTGTTTTTTTTTAAAATACATCTGTGGCTTTTTTTGTTGCTGTTGTTTGGGGGGACAGGTGTTGAGACAGAGTCTCACTACATAATTCAGGCTGGCCTTGAGCTTACTGCGTAGCCTAGGCTGGCCTCAAACTCACAACAGTCCGCTCACCTCGGACTCTGGAGTGCTGGTTACAGGTGTGCACTACCACGCCTGGCTTCTCGAGCATCTTAAATTGCACTGTTGTGGCTGCCTTGATGGCTAATTTAAAACATTTAACTTTCATGGTCATTTTGACTTGGGGGAAGAGCCAGAAGTCATGCAGTGCCCATCAGTGAATAAGGTGTCATGTTTTAGGAGCCTGTCTTTCTATGCTATGGCACCAGTAGCAGGAATCACCATATTTATGATCATGGTTCCTAAAGACTCTCACAAAAGAGGACTTGCAGAACAGCCCCAGAAAGTGGCAAGGATGATGGGAAAAGTGTGTTTGAAGTAAGGCTGAGTATTTAAGGGAGGTTAATGGCACCGTGTCTTTCCCTGTAATAAGTGTTTTTAATCTAAACATTCACCGTATGTTTTGGGCCACTCCTTTAAGTCAAGACTTCACATCTCAAAGAAGTCACCTGTCTTTGGTGGCTGACTCTGCCTGGCTGATCTCTGTCCTGGTCGCTTAGGGAGGGGAACCTAAGACTGCAAGTTTAATAGAAAAGCTGGGGCAGAAATAGGCAAGATGGGTGTGATAAGAAGCCCCACCTCGGCCCTTCTGGAAAGGAGGTGAAGCAGCCCGAGGACAGAGCCCCCAGGTCCAGCCCGGTAGAATGAAGCATTCAAAGCATGGGAAAAGGGGTGGAGGAAGAGCAGGGCGGAAACAGCTCTGTGGCCTGCACATGACCCTGGGGCAGGCACACAGGTACAGCCCTCTGCAGAGATGCTGAGCTGGCTGGGAAGCCACCGAGCAATGCTTGGGAACAGGGAAACTGATGGCTCCGAGCCCACAGCACCTCACAGGAGCAGGATCCATCTCCTCACAGAGCAGGGCTGCTCCCTGACAGGGCCCATCCAGGCCTCTCTGAGGAGCCTCACTGAGTGGCAGAGGCTGGGACCCATCTGCAGCTCAGCCTGCCACAGCGCCCAGGCTCCCCAGCTCCCCCGCTTAGTACAGCGCCCTTGTCCACCTAGAACCCAGCCAAATATCTGCAAGCCGCTCCTGCGTCCTCTTTCCCTCACCTCCAGCACCTCTGATGGTCTGCATTGCAGCCCCCAGCAGTCTGCCAGCCAGTGTTTGAATACAGGGGCCTAAATGACAGCTCCTGGCACACGGCAAGGCCTGGTCCCTCCGTGTAAACACTGCCCAGGTTCACGATACCAAGTGACCCCCGTGACACTGGAGCGGGGAGATCCTGGGCAGAAGCCACCAATACAGCTTCCACACACAGGTGCGACCACAGAAGCACACACGATAGGTACAGGTCCGAGCACAGAAGCGGTTGCCAGGGTGGCCTGAGGCCGGGGTTTGATTCCCAGCACACAGCGTCGTTAGGACTCATCAGAAAACTAGATGCTATGTGTATTTTGTAACTCTATTTTACACATAACTAAGTAATTTATATTATTTAGCTGTAAGCTAATAACTTCCTGGTCTCCCTTCTCCTCAACCCCTGGCACCCCCATTCTACTCTCCGTTCTAAATCTGCCTACTCTACAAGCTTCACTACCTGTTGTTTCTTTATGACTGGCTCATTACCCTGCACCTAGTGTCCTTAAGGTCCACCTATGCTGGAGCAAGTTTCCTTTTTCTTAAAAGCTAGGTAGCTAGGCTTGGTGGTACACACCTGTCATGATGCCACACATGGGGGCTGAGGCAGGAGGGTCACATGTTCAAGTCCAGCCTGGGCAACTTAGCAAGTTAACAAGACCTTGTCTCAAAACAAATAATAAAAATGGGCTGAAGATGTAGCTCGTTGTGAAGACCCGGGTGCAGGCCCCAGTATGTCACGACCACAAACACCTACAATGACTGGGTAATAGTCTGCCATGTGGATGCACCACGGCTTGTTTCTCCATCCCTCCTTCAACGCAGTCTGGCTTGCTCCTGTCTTTGGGCTGCTGGGAATCACGCTGTGGTGCACATGGATGGGCACATGCTTGCTTGGGGCCTTGCGTTTCATTCTTTTGAGTAAGTACCCAAAGGTGTCACTGCTGGCTCATAAGGGAATTTTATATAATTTAATTTTAAATAGCAACTTATAT